AGAAGCATCACGCCGGAGATCGTCTACATCGGCGATATTATAGTGAGGAATTACAGCGGCTCAACTGTTGACCATTTTGTTCGAGCTAAGTTATAGTTATTATGTCGCTTATTGCAGCTGTTGAAAAAGCGTTCATTGTTCCATACATCGCATTGTTTAGAATAACATTGCTTTAATGCTTGTGGACCGTTCTTACATAATCAAATTACTTTTTGGCGTGATTTACTAGCTGTCTCTTATACACATCTAGATGTGTATAAGAGACATAAGTAATTCATCAATAAAACACGCAGTAATTTATTCATCAAACACGAAGTAATTCATCAATAAAACACGAAGTAATTCATTAATCAAACACGAAGTAATTCATCAATAAAACACGAAGTAATTTATTCATCAAACACGAAGTAATTCATCAATAAAACACGAAGTAATTCATCAATAAAACACGCAGTAATTTATTCATCAAACACTAAGTAATTCATCAATAAAACACGAGGTAATTTATTCATCAAGCACGAAGTAATTCATCAATAAAACACTAAGTAATTTATTCATCAAGCACGAAGTAATTCATCAATAAAACACGAAATAATTCATTAATCAAACACGTAGTAATTCATCAATCAAACACGAAGTAATTCATCAATAAAACACGAAGTAATTTATTATTCAAACTCGAAGTAATTCATTCATCAAACACGAAGAAATTCATTCATCAAACACGTAGTCTCACCCTTTACAAAACTCGTAAAGCCATCGTTTCACTGAACACTAAACACGTTTAATACTTTTTACCATTTCGTCACACACGCATCTTTTCTTTAGCCTGCATCAAAAACATATTTTGCCAAATTAATTTGTTAAACTTTAATCTTAAACCGGCACGGTTCTTTAAATTCCTTACAATTACCACCACCTCACGTGCAGGTGATTAAAATATTGTTCGCGTGTTGGAAGAGCAGCTTTTTCAAGAGGCTTGTCACCTGTCGAAGCTTCCTCAAATTAGATGCCTTTATTAAGTGATAAGTCAGGAATTTAGAGTTATAATTTCGCGGGAAACAAGCCCAGTGTTAAGAAAATGGTCCTGTATCATAAGAAAGTTCCAAACCTAATTAATTTTCTGTCTATCGCTAGGCATGGGGTAACAGTTTCCGATTGACATCTTTCCATATGGAGATTCAAATTGCGTTCTTATCAATAGTATCTCCGATAGTGATTTCCTCGTGAGTGAAAGTCCACGTATATTACTTCCATATTTCATTTACTCCAAATTATTTTGTGCCAATCATGTATATATTGCATGTACGAATACTTAGTTTGTAGAGTTTGTAAATTTACCTATAAGATTTTAATCTCAAATATAACATTTTAATCAATACGATTATAAAATTTTTATAACGCAATCACAGTAACAACTTAATTAAATTTGTCATAGAAAGGAGAATCGTGAGAACACAGTCATATGACGGCGAAAGAATATGGGAAAGGAAAAACTTAGAAAATATTGCGTTAAAAGTTGTAAGCTGTAATTGTTCATTAAATGTCAACTAAAGTTGTCGTTTGATAAATATTATGTATTAACTTATCATTTGTACAAATTCCAAATTTTTGTGACTGCAAATACGAGATTAAATCCCCACTGAAATAAGGGAAAATGGTGGGTCAATATGATATAATAGGTCAATGTGATGACCTTTCAAAATTTATCAATTATTTCAACCATTTCAGGTTCGGAATATTTCGGAAATTCATCTTACTTAATTCATTTCAATATGTTGCTACTTCATTCAATCTTCTATTTAACTGAATAACCAGAATTTGCTATATCTTCGAATTTTAATTGCAATACCACGCAGAAAGTATTTAAGAAAAATATATTCAAGAATTTGTATGAAATGAAGCATTAATGCAGTGAGTGCGACAGTGCAAATGAGGGAAGTGGAGCTCTGCTGAACAGAGACGCGATCCAACACCGCGAGGAATCTTGAGCCATAGCCAAGCGCTGCTGCTGACTTCTCTGCAGCCGTGGCTGACGTGGCTGATGTGGCTGACGTGGCTGACGTGGCTGACGAGGCTGATGAAGCTGACGTGGCTGACGTGGCTGATGTGGCTGACGTGGCTGACGTAGCTGATGAGGCTGATGAGGCTGACGTGGCTGATGTGGCAGATGTGGCTGATGTGGCTGATGTGGCTGACGTGGCTGACGTGGCTGATGCCATGGCTGACATGACTTGAGCTGACATATCAGCCATAGGTGGCTGTTGTTCATCCATTGCTGATTTTGCAATGATCGACTTTGAATGCGACGTTCTTCCATGCTGCCAGGAATGATTTTTCAATTACCAGCTTTGCATTTTGGCGACTGAATTCCTGCTACTTAGGCGTCCACAAGCGCTGTTTCTGTTACTCCTGCTCATAACTAACTTTCTAAATGCAGTGCAATATTGTTTTTATTTGCTTCAGACTTTTACTTTACCTACTTCTATAGCATAGTCGCTACTTCTATAGCCTGATACTTCTATAGCGCAGTCGCTACTTCTATATCTACCTACTTCTATAGCATTTTCGCTAATATAGCTACCTACTTCTACAGCGCAGTCGCTACTTCTATATCTACCTACTTCTATAGCATTTTCGCTAATATAGCTACCTACTTCTACAGCAATGTCGCTACTTCTCTCGACCGTTATACAAATGACTGGCATTTTAAAACGGCAACTGACTTTTTGCTACGATTGTTCTTCAAATAATAGGACTGAATATTAACCGAGAAAACTTAACTACATTTTTCGGAAGGTTATGGATAGGCTAAAAATATTAGCGAGTTGTGCATATAAGAGAACTTTATACATCTCTATATGCTCACCGAGAACACAGCCTTTATTTATCGAGCGAGCAATGTACGGGTTGAAACTAGGATACAAATTATATGTTAGCGAGTCGTACATATAAAAGAATTTTAGCCATGTCTATATGCTTACTGAGAACACAGTTTTCATTTTATATAGCGAGCATTGTACGGATTTTCTCTTGGGTGCAATTAAATAACCGCCAATAAAACCACTATAATTTTCCGTAGGGTGGCTCGAGTTGTTCAGGAAGGCGACGCACTAATTGAACCGCTGCCAAAGCTGTGAAGGCCGCCACCACAGACTCGGCAAGAAGAGGCTTTATGTCTTAAATATTAATTATTTTTCTTATCTATATCTTAAATATTATTTTTTTCTTATTTATGTCTAAGATATTAGTTATTTTTCTGATTTATGTCTTAAATAATAATTTTTTTAATTTTAAATAGTTATACATCGATAAAAAGAAAGAGGTGAAAAATTATCTGAGATTTTCTTCAAGTACAAAGAATGGAGAAAATTTATTGCGACTGAATAGAAGGAAAGGCCAGATAACAAAAGATGTCGACAAGAAGAGAAGTCAAAAGGTTAACCAAAAAAAAAAAAAAGAAAAGAAAGGAAGTAACCTCGAGAAAGAGGGATGGAATAGGAAACATCCAAATAAGTTTTGCGAGGGATTAATAAGAAGAGAACCTATAAAATAAATAGAATTATGAGCAAAAATCCACGGATGTGCGAGGAGCAAGTGTGCGCGGCAGAGCAGCGTTGCTGGCACAGGCTGCTGGGCTAAATGTGTTCTCAGGTCAACACATCAGAACACCTGTGCTGCTGCTACACTTGCTCAAATAATTGCGGAAATGAGTAATTCCGATCTAATTCAACAAAATTTTTATGCTGTTTTTAGTGTAATGCAGACAAATGTCAATCTGATATCTTTTCTCGCTTTGACGGTTTTTCGCCCGCCATAACAAACTATAAGATACAGAATATGCTCGTGCGAAAGTGAAAGATTCTCTTATATTTTGAGAAATTTTGCTTGGTAGTTCCTCACAGGGAACTAAATGAATTTAAACTGTTTTCTGTTGAGCATCTGTAAAATATTTTGCTCTATTCTAAATACCATTTGCACTGCACGCTAATAGGAAGTTTGTGTCGTTGAAAGAAGCAGCCATTTTTAATATCCTCAATAGCAGCCAAAGTGTTTTACTTTCATCTCACGCATTCTAGTCAAGGAAACTCAACCTAGGAACCATTACATTTCATTCAGAATCGTTACTTTGTTAAAGTAAAGATATTAATTTAATGTAAATATTGCTAATGCTCTTCAAAATCAAGACCCAATTAAGACATTTTGTTGTAGCATTCAGTTTACTTCGATGCTGCGCCAACTTTTCGTCTAAATGCGAATTACCCGTCAATATTTCTAAAAAATATCATACAAATCCTAATCTACTTTTTTTATCTATATTTCATGTGGACCAAGAATTCTCATCATGTTGAATTTTGCCCGAACAGGAAATAGCTACAAAATTATAGAAATATTTATCACATTGTATATTTTTTTTGTGCAATATATTCTTTTGAAGTAGAAACTTATTTTATGTTTAATCTAAACTATTATTGATGCATCATCTGCTTTCCAAATTTGTAATATGATTTCTTTTATATTTCAGGACAAAATCCGCCTCCTTCAAGAGGACCTCGAGTACGAGAGGGAGCTCCGACAGAGGGTAAGTCGTAAAATTATTATTCATTTATTATTATTATTATTTATCGTACCATATTATTACTATTATTTATTATTATATTTATTTATTATTATTTATTACTATTATTTACCAAAGAATAATAACAAGCAAGAATCTTACAATTCGTCACTGTATGGAGTTTTCGTTTTCAAAGAAAAATTAAATATATATTGCGTGGCGATAATTTTTTTTGTGAGGAAGCATAGCTTGTAATTTTTAACTGGACTTATCGGGAAATTTCATATATTGAATGAACGGTGTGCGATTTACTTAAGAAAGAAATCATGCGAGCAGGGTCCAATCATTTTCCAGAAATATTTTGGGCGATATAATTATTTCAAATAAATAATCCATTTCACCAGCAAACAATAAGCTAAGGCCATGCATTTTCATTATTAAAGTAAATTTCCAAATAATTATATTTTTCGGGCGATGTAATTATTTCAAACAAATATTCAATATCACCAACAAGTAATAAGCTAATGTCATACATTTTCATTGTGAAAGTAAGCTTTCAACTCTTAATTATATGCAGATACAGGAGATATAAAGCAATACATTTTCACTATGAAAATAAGCTTCCAAATCTTAATTATATGCAGATACAGAAGACATAAAGCAACAAGTTACAATAAGAGAGATTAGATGAGCTGCAAACTGTGCTGAGGAGAAGAATGCAGGGCGGTAGACTAGAGCTGCGTGTCTCACAGCGCCAAGACGTGTGACTCAAGCGCTTAATATATACTGCCAACACGCGCCCACTCGCTCACACTCTTACACGCACACACTTGTATGCCGACACATTGATATTTAAAACTCTGCATGATCACGCTCTCTAACACATACACTCTCGCATTCCGACACATTGTCAAGCAAGCACCTACACGCTCACACTCTCTTGCACGCACACATTCTCACTCTCTTGCACGTACGCACACGTGCACACAATCTTGCACGCACACGTGCACACTCTCTTGCACGTACACATTCTCACTCTCTTGCACGTACGCACACGTGCACACAATCTTACACGCACACGTTCACACTCTTTTACGCGCACACTCTTGTATGCCGACACTTTGATATTTAAAACTCTGCATGATCACGCTCTCTAACACTTACACTCTCGCATTCCGACACATAGTCAGGCAAGCACCAACACGCTCACACTCTCTCACACGTACACTCTTGTATGCCGACACTTTGATATTTAAAACTCAATATGGCCGTGCTCTCTAACACCTACACTCTCGCATTCCGACACATTTTCAAGAAAAAACCTCACACGCTCTCACTCTATTGCACGCACACATTATCAAACGCTTACACTCTCTTACACGCACACTCATGTCACACTCATGATTACTCTGCATAACCACACTCTATAACACGCACAATCTCGTATGTCATAGCACCGAACAGGTTCTGTTCAATTATCTGGGGTGGTATGCAGGATGTACTCGTGAAATTAGTATCTGTAATTTAATTAAGATAGATTACTTAACGGAACAATTCATACAATGACAGCAAATTAAAAAAATATATATAATGACTGGGAGAGACCTAGATGAAAAATTTTGGGATTGGAGGTGCAGCAGTACTGGGTTGACCTGTTGAGAGAAGCACGCTAAATGAATACAGTTTGTCGAGCAAAGGCAACCAACGAAACATTTCGTGTAACGGACAAAGTTCACAAAAGAAGAAATAAGGTATAATAAACAGAAGAAGAATCCTTATTATCATATCATATTTATACTAAGGAGTTATCTGGCTCATCTGTTGAGCGTGTCGGAATATGATCTAAATCCTTTACCGAAATGCTTACACAAAATTAACTGGTGTTGGGAAAGAATAAGTCTCTTCTAGTAAGGCGGACGCATGCATTTACACCCTAGGAGCCACACGCTCACACTCTCCTACACTAACACTCTCCTACACTAACACTCGTATGCGACACATTGACACTCAAACTCATACAAGAACCAACTATTCATTCAACACACTCACATTGCCACGCATGGCCAGACATTCACACTACCGAATTCCTACACTCTCGACCTACTAACACGCGCTCGTAATGACAAATCTAGCACTCAAAAGTACATATCGTCTTGTATATTCTCCTGTTCTCAAAACCTGTTCCTTTATGCCGACTGGTGCGCTGACATTCCCGTTGTGACACAAGACATTCCTGATTTACTGGTACTGATGCTCTGTTGCATAAGCTTATTTCTGATCAATCAGGGAAAATAATGAGTCAGTATGACAAACTTGAGCTTGTCGAAAATACGAAGGGATATCAGTAGGTCTCAGCACTCTCGATTAATTCAAGTATTTTAATAATTAGTGAAATGGTTTGAGTTTGACTCACCAACAAAGACGGCTGTGAGGCGGGAGTGCGTGAGTCAGAGGAATATTTGCAGACGATGCATCGATTTTGGGAAACGCCCGAGTGAGTCATCCTGACCTCCTCACTTTTATGAGTGAACATGAGCACTCTCAGATCCAACATACTGTATGTGAACCTTTCAAAGCGCCGAATACCGACACGTGTGAACCTTTCATAACATGCAATTCCGACACATGTAGAACTTTCATGGCGCAAAATTTCAACACATGCAAAACTTTCATAACGCATAATACCGATATATGTAAACCTTTCATAACGCACAATACCGTCAAATGTAAGCCTTTCATAAGGGTACGCACACAGTGAAAGCAGGTTGCCAGCGTGCTGGTTACCTGCTCAGGCTGGCGCCTGAAACCATAGAATACAGAAGCCTATTCGTACAGGTTTTCACTGTGAACACTTACATTATTATCCTATGTTCATTCGTGTGGCAGGTTGGAGCAGGTTGCCCGCGCGGGCAAACCTGTTTTTACTGTGTGCGTACCCTTACGCATGATTCCGACACATGTAAACCTTTCATAACGCACAATACCGTCGAATGCAAGCCTTTCATAACGCACGATTCCGACAAATGTAAACCTTTTAACCCTTTTATAACGCTCAATACCGACACATGCAAAACTTTCATTACGCCCAATATGATGGAAAGCTCTCATAACGCCCAATACCGGCACATGGAAACCTTCCATTATGCACATTGCCAAAACATGTAAGCTCTTCATAATGAGGCACAAACGCTCTATACTATGCCACCAGATCGCTTATGCGCTCATCGTCATAGTCTTGCAAAGAAGCGCAGTAAAAAATACCTAAAAAAAAACCATACTCATCAAAAATATCCAGCTTATGCGCTCATCGACATAGTCTTACAAAGTAGCACAGTAAAAAATACATGAAAAAATACCCATACGCTCAGTTCTTGATGAACGTCTAAATAATTAATTATAATTACTTAAAGACACTCAAAAACTTTAGAAGACCTCAACTTCCGTTCACTCATTATATTATTTTCAAACTTGATCATGTCGATGTCAATTAATTTCATGCCGTTAACTGTGCTCGTAAATTCCATTTATAACTCTTTACATTTGTATTTGCTGCTTTTTTACCAACTCAGAACCATCTATATCAAAGTTAAATAGAAGTATTTGTTATTGATAATATTTTTGACCAACTGTGAACTACCTAGACAAAAGTTAAGTAATATTATTTTTTATTGACAGCATTTTTGAACAATTGTGAACCACCAAGACAAAAGTTAAATAATAGTATTTGTTATTGACAGTATTTTCAAACAACTGCGAACCAGTTAGATCTGAGTTAAATTAAATTATTTGTTATTGACAGCATTTTCAAACAACTGCTAACCAGTTTGCTCAAAGTTAAATACAATTATTTGTTTTTGACGGTATTTTTGAACAATTGAACTTCAGACAGATTGAACTTCATTTTAAATAACACTATTTGTAATTGCTATAGTAATTTTATGCGCAACTATGAACTACATAGCTCTTAGTTAATTGACATTATTTGTAATTGATATAATGGATATTATTGTTATTGTAACAGGTGGAGCGCGAGAAGTCTGACTTCAGCGTGCAGGTCATTCAGCTACAGGAGCGCATTGAGGAGGTCGAAGCTGGCGCGGATGGACAGGTCGGTCAAACGGTTGCACATTTAATGGTTAGGTTAAGTTAGGTTAGGTTAGGTTAAGTTTGGTTAGGTTAGGTTAGGTTAGATTTGGTTAGGTTAGGTTTGGTTAGGTTAGGTTAGGTTAGATTAGGTTAGGTTAGGTTGGGTTAGGTTAGGTTTGGTTAGGTTAGGTTAGGTTAGATTAGGTTAGGTTAGGTTTCGTTTGGTTTAGTTAGGTTAGGTTAGGTTTAAGCGAGAGAGAACTAATTTTCTTATATAGATCATTAGTAAACGAGTAGCTTTAATTAATTAAGTAGCAATAATTTGTAATATTTTAGTAAGTCAAACGGGTACAGATTCAAGCGAGAGAGTGAGAGTGAGAACTAATTTGCTTATATAGATCATTATTAAACGAGTAGCTTTAGACATATTTTATGCAATAATTTCTAATATTTTATTAAAAGGTTAAATTACATAAAAAGTGTCTTCGAGGAAGTATAACAATTTTGATTTTCTACAAACTTGTACAATGAATAAAACATCCAGTGATACTTAACTTTCAAATTATTTAATTGTTGCAATAACGTAAAATACGATGTATAATTACAACACACAAATGACATAACAATATGAACGAATATATTTTTCCAAAACTAATTAACTGTTTACAATATACTAGTATGTGAAAACCACAGGTAAACAATATAAATGTATATTATTTACGATTATTATGCTCCATGTTCTAGAGTATACAAATTAATCATGTTAGCTTTCAAATGAAAATCATATAAGAAAACAGGCGTTGATGTACAAAAAAGTCAAGTAACTTCAACTAATTAAAAACCCGACTGCACGTGCCTAGAGATTTCAGTCTCCTGCGGTTGGTGACTTCATTTCACAGGCCGAACGATGATCACTGTTGAATTTTGCAACATTTTTTCAGATATATAAGTATTGTTATTAATAATACTATTAATATTATAATTATTGATATTAATATTATTACTATTATGATTATTATTGTTAAAATTATTATTTTAATACTCAGATCGAAATCAACCGCAAGCGCGACGCTGAGCTGGCTAAGCTGCGCAAGTTGCTGGAAGATGTGCACCTGGAGGCTGAGCAGACGCAGCACCTGCTCAAGAAGAAACATCAGGAAGCTGTCGTTGACTTCCAGGACCAAGTCGACATCCTCACCAAGGCCAAGTCCAAGTGGGTGCTTAAAACCTTAATAAGTTGTTAGAATATAATCCTGTAACTAAGTCATCGCCTATATTGTATGTCTACTTACTGAATTGTTATTATAATATGGCAGAAATTTCTTGTTTATATGAGTACAATTTATGACCAGAGAGTGCATTTTAATTTTCATGGAGTTGAACAATTCTTAGATGACGTTGGTAGATCAAACGCCAGATTTAGCAAATAATTAATATATTAACGATGTTTTGAATGTTTGAGAAATTGTTTGAATTAATGTTACTAAATTGTTTGAATAAAAGCTTAGAACAAATTCAATGGTCAAAACTCACTAGGTTACTATAGTAAAAGAATATGAATCTGAATTAGTTTCGAATGCAGTGAATGTCTCCTATAATTTACAAATATCTTCATTAACTAGGTTTCGACAGGTCACGATGGTCTGAATTTAAAATCCATGCGAGGTCAACATATTACAACAATTTATGTCGATCCTTCGGAATTAAGCTGGAACAGGTATAAACAAAAGCAAGATTAATGTAGGCTATTTTATGAGGCCTGCCAAAAAACATGGCAATTCATGTTGCCCATATCCACGAAAGATAATAAAATTCCTGTTTCTTGAAATGTCCGCAATACAGACGCGAGGATATTGTTACCATCATTTCTAGTCGTGCTCCTATGTCCTCAAAGAACGCATTCACATTCATGTTGCCCATTCATACGAACGATAATGAAATTTCCGTTTCTTGAAATGTTCACATGACAGACGCGAGGATACTGTTATTATCATTTCTAGTTGTACTTTTATGACCTCAAAGAACGCATTCAATTCATGTAGCCCATTTCTACGAACGATAATAAAATTTCTTGAAATGTTCGCATTACAGACGCGAGGATATTGTTATCATCATTTCTAGTTGTACTATTATGACCTCAAAGAACGCATTTGCATTCGTGCTGCCAAAATCCACGAACGATAATAAAATGTCTTGAAATGTTTGTATTACAGACGCGAGGATATTGTTATCATTTATAGTCGTGCGCATATGACTTCAAAGATCGCATTCACATTAATGCTGTAAGTTTAAATGAACGGAAACTTGTTGCCAGGATCGAGAAGGAGCGAAGCAAGTTCCAGACTGAGGTGTATGAGCTCACCGAGCAGCTCGAGCGAGCCACCGTCGAGGCCGCCAACAACAACAAGTCCATCAAGTCCCTCAACATCGTCATTCAGGAGCTCAATATCAAGATTGAGGAGCTCAACCGCACCGTCGTTGACCTCACCTCCAACAAGCAGCGAATTAGCGTCGTGAGTTATATTGTAAACTTCAGAACTACTGTCGCGAGAGGAATGTTTCAGTCTCCCCTCTGCTAGATCATCCGGGGCTGTTCGCATGTTTGTCACGAGAAAATGTTTCAGTATTGACTCCGTGGATCAGTACTCCTATATTTAATTTCCTGTAATATATTTTAATTCATGTGGTCTCACGAATGAATGATGCTCTAATTATATTTCAGTTGCATTTGCATTTTCTAGAAGAAAATTAGACTGAACACGCTTAACTTAACAGATGATAACAAGAAAATATCTTGATTGAAGAAAATTTGTAATGAATGCCGTCGTAGAAAGAAATTTTCATGTTATATATATTCCGTGACAAAATTTTTCTCAAATTATTGGTGTAGAATCATACCAATATTGATCCTATAAAAACAATTAGGAGATTATCAATTGAATATCAAATTATTTGTGTAGAATTATATCAATATTGATCCTTTTTAAAACAATTAGGAAATTATTAATTGAATGAACTGTGCAGGAGAACATCGAGCTGCACAAGTCGGTGCAGGAGCTGAAGGTGAAGATCGAAGAGATTACTTACATCAGTAAGAACGCCTCCAGCAACGTCGAGGAGTTCCGTAGGAAGTATGAGGAAGAGGAGCGGGTGAGTGGCGGTGTCAACATGAACATATGATACTGATAAACATAGGATTATAACTATTACATAAGTTATAAAATAGAATAGCAACTATTGCATAGGTTATAAAATAGAATAAAAACTATGTATTACTTAGGTTATAGAATAGAATAACAACTATTACTTAGATTATAAATAGAATAACAACTATTATTTAGGTTATAAAATAGAATAACAACTATTACTTAGGTTTTAAAATAGACTAACAACTATTACTTAGGTTATAAAATAGAATAACAACTATTACTTAGATTATATATAGAATAACAACTATTAATTAGGTTATAAAATAGAATAACAACTATTACTTAGGTTTTAAAATAGAATAACAACTATTACTTAGGTTATAAAATAGAATAACAACTATTACTTAAGTTATAAAATAGAATAATAACTATTACTTAGATTCATCCTGTTCGGGAGCAGGTAAGATATGGGGAAAAGAATGAGCAGTACTGATATAAATTCACATAACGTTGTACTATAGCTCAGAAAATAGAAAGAATTATCTGTTCCTCTATCATCTCGTGTTGTAAAAGCATTTGTATCTACACAAATGCTAGATAATAAGCCCTCACAACGACCACCAGAAACTCAGTAATGCAATGATGTGAGAACCATTATAAACACTTATTGCTTATACAGCGAGGTAAGGCTCTAAAGAGAGAATGTCGTCGTAGCGGATACCCTTTCGTGCATGCGTGACCAATTGTTTAATTTTGATTTCAACGAAGAATAAGGAACGTGATACAAATATATCGAGTCAATACGTTAAGGAGCCACAGACGCCACTGCAGTGAATCTTAAACAGTTTGCGTGAATTAAAATTGCCGTCCCCGGAGTGCTTCCTATAACGCGTACTCTCAGTGCTAAAGCTGCTTGCATTCAGCATCGAACCAGTGAGGTTTATGACTGAACATTTGTACAGATGGAGCTGTAATGGTTTAAGGCACCAAATGATGGTCGTAAATACATTCGTGAAAAGGAAAAAAGCGAGAAACCCTAATTAGAATCGTGAACACTCTCACCTACTTAATTGGGTCTTTTTCAGACTACTTGGGGTCTTGCAACAGCTGGGGTCTTATACGGTGTCGGGCGGTAACTTTCTCCGATGATGGGATACAAAATTGGGTGCATGCTGCGATAAATGCCCTAATTTGTATTAGGTCAATTATGTGTACATATAAGTATATTTCAGATATTTCTTCTTTACCATAAGAAAACGGTAATGAAAATAGAGCTTCGTAACTAAGTTGCTATACGTCACTGCCACTGTAGTCTCAGCATTTGATTAATATTACATATTATGAAATATCCCCGTGACTATTGAAAAAAATTGAATTCTATGCCGTAAGCACTCTCGGCATTTTAGGTAACATAATTAAATTATACATAATTTCGAATAAAACCAACGTCCTGATGTAATTATGCCGCGTTAATTACACGCGACAATTTATTTGAGATTTCTAGATATCAAATATCAGCATGAGCATCAAATAATTAATCAAATTTACCGCCGTAAGCATCTTCTTCACCCAAGATGTCACAGTTCACCTAATATTTCAAGTAATTTAAAATAATAGTATTTTAATTTACTAATTATAATAATACCAAGTAAGTAATTTACAGTAAGTAATTAATAGTAATCAAGTAATTTAAAAATAAAATAAACTATAATAATTCACCGTATACGAGCAGCGTCGTCGCAAGCTGGAGGCCGACATCGCAGCCATCACTCAGGAGCTTGCAACGCTGCGCTCGAGCTACGACGAAGAGTGCGAGCTGCGCCTCGACATCGAGCGCAAGTACAGCAACGAGTGCGCCAACGCTAACTCCTACAAGAGCAAGTGGGAGATCGAGGTCCGCGGCCGCCAAGAGGAGGTTGAGGAGATCAAGTGAGTCAAAGAGGGATCCTAGAGCTAGGTTATTAGGATACCAATAAGGATGCCGGGCAGTTAGCAAAGCGAAATTGAAGCAGTGAGTTGCGCGTTCGAGACCGCAGCAAGCTGTGAATATGGACAAGAATCATACGTTACAACGCAGAAGTATGTCGGCATTTAATTAAGAAAGCTGGATTATAGAGCTGGATAACAAAATTTATGTTTATTACTACACAATAGGACGATACGACCACAATGGGATCAATTACAATATTTATAAACTTCAAAAAATTGCTAGCAATTTGGGGCTATTAAGTGTCAATGAGATTCAGGGGACACTCATGAAATTATTATGATAGCAAAGATTACACTTTGTTATCAATAGAACACGCTAAATTGTGTACGCCACAACTTTTCTAGTAAATCATCATAATGAAATAAAGTGCCCTTCACCGCAGTAACTTATTTATGGATTAGGAACATCTGGCTAAAATAAGCTGGGTGATGAAATTTATTTAACTCTATATTCAAATCATATAAAATAGACAAAATTTTTCATTATTAATAAAACAGCTTAAAGTAAATTTTCATTTAATGATTATGGAAAATTTGTTAGACCTTAATAATGCGCCAAAAATTATTTATATTATCGAAAATTTAGATGATGTGAATTTGATCAATAGTAATTACAAGTTATTTCACTTTGTCCTTTTTAAATAGCGGCACAAATAACGGCAATCTTTTCAATAGATTTCAATCCCAAGCTCATGACATAAGTTGTTTGCCGATTCCTCATAATTTGATTAGCTTTTTGACACTCATTAACGAATACCGTCTAATGAATGGAAAATATTCATTGCGTAAACATTAAGCCGCTATTGGCAGGTAAGTTCTATATGTGACTATGTGTGATTTTATATAATTTTCGAGTAAACTTAGAAAATTATTTAAAGATATGTTTCTGTATTGAATAAATAGGAATACTTATACTGATTGAATTTGTGCCAAAGGAAGAAGATGTTGATCCGCATCACTGAGCTGGAGGAGACCATCAGCTCCCTCACGACGAAGCTCTCAGGAGTCGAGAAGCAGAAGTCCCGCTTGTCCCAGGAGATCGAAGTCCTCATCTTGGATTTGGAAAAGGTGAGGGGGAACTTAAAAAATATAACTCAGTACTCACTGCAGTGAGTGACAGAGAGCGCATTTTCTCGTCGACGAAAACTTGAGATTGAGATCACGGACGGACAGACAGACAGACAGACAGACAGACGGACATGGCGAGCACAATAGTGCATTTTGTCCATAAATGAGAAAATGCGCTAAAAATGACTAAAATGATCACAATTTAGGCCATGTGTGAGGTTAAGATTATTAAAATTGTAATTGGGAATCAGAGGTCTGACTGGTTTGTGGAGATCAAAGTCCTCATCTTAGATTTGGAAAAGGTGAAGAAAAACTTAAAAAAAATTACTAACATTCTCATGATTTAGGGCATGTATAAGGTCAAAATAAGTAAAGTTGTAATTGGGAAGCAGAACTCTATCTTGTCCCAGGAGATCAAAGTCCTCATCTAGGATGCGGAGAAGCTGAAGGAATGTTCTGAAAGGCCGCAGAAAGTCCCTTGGTTGTAGAGTAGACGAAGTAATTAGATTACAGTTGTTGACTGCGGGACCAAAGTCCATGGCGGCCAACGTCCCAAGGTTGATAGATGGTAAAGTACAAAGTAGTTGTACGGAATCACACAAATTGAAAAAAATGCCTCACGAGGTCAAGAGAAACTAGACTTCGTATTCATGAATATCATGAATATCTTGTGCTAAAGAGGATAGCTCAGTGACTTGAAGGACTCATAGTGAGTTAATGCGAGCCCTAAAGGCTTCCATCAACGCGCAAAGTGAAATATTTCAGTCTTTGGCTAACCAAAGTTGGTTTCATATCAGAAAATTCATTATACATAAAATATATGTTGCATAAAATATATATGCAACATTCAGTTGATAATTTCCGATTATTTTAAGAATATTCACACAATATTCACAACTTAATTAGACAATCCTGACGGAAAAAATATCTGCTGAAAATCCACGCCATAATTAGCAATATCCCACGTATGATTATAGTAGCAAAATCATAATAATAATTTTATAATCCGTCGAAGTGACACCGATAGCAGGTAAAAATCAATTTATAGCAATTGTACATAATAAGACTTGGCGTTGAGAATCAAATTACAACGCCCTCGCTATCAATATTACTCAATAATTTCCAGTCGCTTGTAAGCAATTAAAGAAAAATAAGTAACCCCAAGCAATAGTTGTCAAGATTATATAGCTACCACTCGTCAATAATATAAAACAATAACCGCTGATCTCCAACATTAAATATTAGCCAAACAACTCCAAAACAAATTACATCCACATGTCAATAATAACAATAAATATTTTTTTTACAAAAATAGGTAAAAAATGTTTGACAAAACAAATAAATACATAAAAAATTAATAAATAGGTAAATAAATAAATAATAAATAAATACACAAAAAATTAGTGAATTCATAAATAAGCACATAAAAAATAATAAATTAATAAATTAGTAATTAAATTAAAAAATAAATTAATTAATTAATAAAACTACATCTGTCCCGCAGGCGAACAACAACCACCGCGAGGTAAGGTCTCGCCTTGAGATCGTGGAGCGCGAGCACAGAACTCTGATCGTGAAGCACGAGGAGCTCTCAGTGCTCTACGACCAGTCGTGCAAGGACCTCAAGATCAGGAGCTCAGACCTCACCAAGGCGCTGCACGATCTCGAGACTCTCAAGGAGCAGTACGAGCGAATCCATCTCGAGCACAAGAAGCTTTCAAGTAAGATCGCAAATAATGAAAATACGAATTTTTGTTTCAATAAAATTTCCGGAAATAAAGAAAATATGATTTATTTAAAGAAAATTATTCTTTTGAGTTAGATTGAGAGCGAATCCATCTCGAGCATAAGAAACTTTCAAGTAAGACAGAAAATAATGAAAATACGATTTTTTTAAATAATTTTTTTTGGAGTTAGATTGGGAATTTGGTTTGATGAAATGCAGCTATGAGCAGATTTAACATCCTTGTTTCAAGACTAAAAAATGAGGAATACTCATCGGAAATAAAGAAAATATAATTTATTCGAAAAAAATATACGCGTTAGATTGAGAATGTCTTTGATGAAATTGTAGATATGAGCGGATTTAACTTCCTTGTCTCAAGACTAAAACATACTGAATACTCCCAAGTGTAATTATTCAGCTGCCAAGTGGAAAGAACTCTTGAAAATGGCTTTTTTTAAATACTCCCAACTTGGAAGAAATAAATATGGTTAATGTTTGCTTCGTTGGAATTTTAAATTTCAATACGCATTACCGATAGGCTCAGTAAAATTATTACAATTTTAAGATGAATTGATCAAAACAATGTTGCTGCTATATCAATATGTGCTTTGACAGTCTCCAGCATCAGTTTTAGTCTGTTGCATCAATGAACGTATTTTTGACCCATGATGTTACCTGAATTCCTTCAACGTAATCATTGGAAGTTTTTTTGACAATTTTCAATTCAAATGATAATCTCTTTCTCTTAACTACATGGCTGAGTAACTCGACCATTTTGTGCATTAACACGTTTACTCCAATTGCTTCATCTTGTAGTATTATTCATTTTTTTTGTACTATTACGCAACAGGGTTGCCAGACGGTCTCTTTTTTTCCCTACAATTTCGGCGATATATATTTTTTTCAATTGCTTTGGCTGGCTAAAATTCATGATAGGGGTGATTCCTAATTTAATTTAAAAAAAGAAATGGAGTTCTTACACCGGAAACAACAAATATAATTGCATATATTGAGTTATAGGGCTTTTTTGGCCTTTTTTGTTCGCGGACTTGGCTGTTTTTTATGTCATCTGGCAACCCTAAATTATGTACAACTATGTTCTGGAGGAATACACTTGGTTGCACGCATATGTACCACTTTGGAGTCAACGTTTTAATTATGCTCGATTTTTATTCAGATTGCATTTATCATCGTAAAGTACTGGCAATAAATAACGCTGTACTTATCTACCGGCGTTCAGACGAGAACGGCGACCTGAAGGCAACCGTGAACGACTTGACTCGCCTGAAGCATGACCTCGAGCTCGAGATCCGGCGCCTGGAGTCGGAGAGGAATGAGCTCGCCAACGCACTCCACGAGTCTGAAGCTGTGAGTAAAACTCATTCTTCCAGCTTATTACATGTTATTTGGATTCAACTGCAGTCACTAAAGAATTCAGTTATTGAATTCTTTATATATATATTTATTAAGAAATATATATAATATATAAATCATATATCATTATATATGATTTACATAGGTAAATAAATTATATATAATAATATATAATTTATATAAATATATATATCATAGATAATAATATATGATTGAATATATATGATGAAAAAATAAATTAATAGTAAAATTTGATTCAAAACTGGTTAAAAGGTGAGGAAATTACTTGGAAAATGCATTTTGTTTGTTTTGTAACATTTCAGGGAGTAAATAGAATGTAACGTAAGCGAAACCGATACCTGCGATGTTCTCAACAACACATAAAAAATTTGTTGTTTGATGGCTTTCTATGTCTGCAATCTTCTCTTTGCATGAGAGAGAAATAAATAGCAAATTGGTGAAACTATCAGTTTGCATACGGAATAGATATAAAAAGAAAAATCATGTGATTTGTGCAATTTATTCCAAGAATGAAAATGCTGAGAATTTATTTCATTTTATAACATAAATCGAAAATTTGGATGCAAAAAGACGTAATGCATGTTGAAAATAATTGCAAAAATGTTGCTGACATAGACGCATTGCATGTTGATAATAATTACAAGAACATTGCTGACGTAGCCGTGTATTTGACGACTCCAGGCCCGCAAGGACGAGGAGACGAGGTTCCTGAAGATGTCGAGCGAGTATTCGTCGTACCGCACCGAGACCGAACGTCGTCTGCAGGCCAAGGAAGACGAGATCGACACGCTGCGGTGAGTAGTATTTCCATATTCCATGATTTAAACATGTACGATTTTTCAGAAATACGATTTTAAAAAAATAATATTTTTTAAAAATACGGTTTTTCAAAAAATACGATTTTTCAAAATTACGACTTTCAAAAAATACGATTTTTCAAAAATACGATTTTTCAAAAATACGAGTTTTTTAAAATAATATTTTTCAAAAATACGATTTTTTAAAAAAATACGATTCTTCAAAAAAAAAAAACACGATTTTCAAAAAATAGTATTTATCATAAATTTTTCACAAAATACGATTTTTCAAAAATCGTATTTGAATTTTGCATCTACTTACTTTATCTTATTTATTCTGGATTTGATTTCCAATTTACGTCAACGTAGCTTCTTTTAATAGTATCTTAAACGAATCAAATTGTTTTTAATAACTGACCGTGCGGCTATAATTTTGCATATGGTATTGTTTTCAATACGAGATTAATGCTGTTGCTCAATTATTTCCATGATCTTACTTAACAAGTAAATTTATTGCTTACGAACGCAATAAGTTTGCGTTCACAAGCAAGATGAAGTGGGTAGATCAATGTTTGAATGGCTCTTGATTTCAATAATTTCGCAAAATTGTGGGGAGCGAAAAGAATGATAAAAATTGATTATTATATTGTTGGTGACGTGCATATTATAATTTGAGCGCGGGATGCGATTTACCTTGAGCTGCAGAAAGCTTTTCCCATCACTGGCATGGCAAGTCTACATTCATGATTAAGTTTGAATTATGTAGAGAATTTGTGGTAAATATTATGATTAAAATGCGCGCCATCACTTGGTATAATTAAACAATTGAATCTATCATATAATATCCCCTTCACATGATGCCTAATGACTGTGATTTTTTCTTAAGTTTGTTATCTTACATACGCTGCATGTAACTTGGCATATTTAACTTAGAATTAGTTATATGTAACTTAGAATAAGTGATTATGCAGCACCACTTAGCCTGAATATTGTGGCGCACCTTACATTTTAGGGAAAACATGCGGATAGCTGCGTTGCCTCGCTTCATAAATGCTCTCAGAGCTATTTTATGAGCTTGTCAAGGCCTTACAGTAAACAATGGGCTGGTTCACAGTAAGCACAGTAAAATGAACATAACCATCGTTCTTATATACATGAGCCTCTGAAGCGATATATCTTGAATTTACTCCCGAAATGTGAAGATCCAAGCACACAGCGACTTTTGCATACTTTTCGCACCCTCAGCTACGATCAAACTCTCCATTCCTTTAATTAGTCATCACCAGCGGAGTCTTGCTTTTAATTTGCTGATTTAAAACTTGGCTTGGGCCCAAATGTCGCCCACAGGCTTACCGCTCGGTGGGAAGATCGCAGGTTGAGGTATGCGAGGTGATCAAAGCCATCGCACCGACACTGACATTTTTATAAACTGAATTTGACGTATTTATGGACGTATATTTTTACGCATAAAAAATGAGTTTTATGATGAGTTTAAATGATCATAGTTGAGATTGACCACTAGTAGTGGGGGGAAAAAAGATTAACGCTCGGAGCGCACGAGGTAAAAAATTGCGTAATTCGCAGATAAAACAATTCTAGAATATAAAAATTTCTCTAATTGAGCTGCAAAAAATTCCACGCGATATTGAACGATCTATGGGATATGAGAGGCAAGTTATTTCATAAATCTAATTTTTTTACATTCTGCAACTGACTTAACTCTAAGCATAGCAATACTTGGCATGCGCAGGGTAAGCTGGCTTGGCCGCTTGCCTAGACTTGGCACGTCAGCGGCTGCCAATTTTAGGCCAGTCCACTGACTGACAACAGCTTCCTAATTAAAGGCCTTAAAAGTTTATTTTTTTATTCCTCTTCCGTCGTAATTAAAACTCACGAAGCACTGCGGCAGAGTAGTTATGAATTATTTTTTTTCCATTCGACTCTGCGTTTATTAAAATCAGAAGATTAAATTGACGGACATCAGATATGTTCTTTGGTTTTTCAGGTTTTGCACATTCGATTTGAAATTTTTTTATCATGATCAAGGAACCAATGTGAAAGGCAAAAAAAACTTGAAATAATACTAGTCAATTGTTCAATTATTGATTATAAGGAAAGATCCTCGATAGAACCAAAAGACATTTAAGTATTATTTGACAAGTTTCAATGGTGCAAATTACATTGCTCTTTATAAACCAGCCATTCATATTCTTCATTCTGAATATTCTCAAATTATGCGGATAGACAATCCATATTATGTGTGCTGAACTAAAAAAGAAAACCATTCTAAGGAAACTATATAAAAAATGTTCCAGTCTAAGGAGAGCGTTGTTTAATTTAAAATAGTTGAAGATCTTTATGCAGTTGCCGCAACGTGCGAATAGTAAACCTCGTGAAACGCTTAACTGCCCGCAAATTCTCTCTATTGTGTGTAGCTTACTTTTTTACCAAGAATATTGACACTGATGGATAGGAAGAATGACCATTCGCGTCGTGTAACATCGAACCAAAAGTTTGGGTGACATTTCAAGTGTGACTTGCATTCATTTATGTCACACAAGACAGTGTGAAGCATTTGTCTGACAGAAATAGCAGTGGCAAATAAATATTCTTGATGTCTTGGCACCGTTACCATTGGCAAGTGTAAGCCAATGATAAGATGCTAAGCCCACTAGCCCCCCACCATCCTACGAGGTCTTATCATATGAGGTGTCAAGATGGGGCCGAGGGAACATTTTGACAGCATTCACTTCTCGGTCCCGCTCACGAAAGGAGGCGCTCATGCTGATTGGGATATTGTCGGCCGTGCGGTAACTTGCTCCTCTGTTACTGTAAATCGGAAAGGATTAGGATCTCTACTGCGCTAATAAGGGAAAACAATGACTGAACCTAACAATGATACGACCGAATTTATATTTCGTTGGAGGTAGTGCTTAAAAGATCAGGTAAATGTGCCTCCTGATCCTTCTCCTGCGTAAACCCGTTAAGTTCTCGAGGCCACTGCATTCATTACAGTGAAAAAGCCAACAAAAGCTTAGAAATACAGCGACCAAGTCCCAAATTAGTTTTCTGCACCTACGCCAACGCTGCTATGGCCGACGATTGCCAAGACTCCGATGTCGGTGCTGAGGAAGGCAGTCTCTCCGCGATCAAGCAGCAGGAAGAAGCCGACTCCAATGCAGGAGAAACTGAGACCAAAAAACGTGTGAAACGTCCAGGTGGTTTTTGGAAGCGCTCGCCATGCAAAATTTACGCTGACAATTTCGGTTTTGGAGTGAACCGGTACCAGTGTATGATAGACTATCTTGACTTGAAAGATTCTGGTGGACATCCAAATAAGAGTGAAATTCGGTTGCCGCTGTTAGAAGATCGGTGTTTGGATTCGTACAGTTCAAAGAGACCATTCAAATTTTACGACAATTGTGATATTGACGATTTCATTGATAAAGGAGAGAAAATACGTTCTCAGATTCGGCAAAACGACGTAGCTTCTCCCGGGAACGTTTTGCGACGAACTCACACGAATTGGTCGATGACGAAGAAGTACGTGCAGTTGGTGAAAAAGTCAAACGTGATCGACTACAGGAAGATTCGCGAAGAAGCCGCGCTCGAAGCTTTGGGAGTACCATCTCCAAAAGTTTTAAAATCACTAGGTGTTTCATTTGTCCCTGCCAGCAAAATGGATTCAATGAATCTTACGCTTATGAAGGCCCATAACAACTTGGATCATGCCATCTACATGAACTCCCGTCGTGAGCGACTGAACCAACTAGACCACCAGATGGATGGCGTGATGGATCAGATCTCGAACACGACCGAAGATTTGAGCAGAAGGACTCGGCAAGAACTTTCTAGGAGAAATCGGAACCAGAACATCACCGAGTACGATAAGGCACAGAACATGATGGAGCTCGCCTTGGTGACAGAAGACATTGCCTCCCGAAATCGGCTTCGACGTCAGCTAGAATTACGGGACCTGGAAGAGGGTGTCGATGAAATTATGCGATACGATTCGTCGAGGAACCGCGTCATCAACAACCTGAGGGCCTTAGACGACCACATCGTAGGAATGGAAGACCAAGTGGCGGCAATGCGTCGCAGGCATAGAGAAGAACGAGGCGACGATTACGATATGACGGTGGACACACTGAATGCTTTGGCGCGTAGGAAGGCACGCAGGGTATTAAACTTGAATGTTAACGACGAAGATGTGGATGACCCTGAATTGGCTCGGTTGAGAATGCGTAAAGCGCATCAATATGAACTAGATGATCCGGCTGTGAAACCGTTTCGCAAGTTCGCTACCAGGCCTGACACCGTGTCAGATGTCCAGTCACGAGTCTTGCAAAGGGCCGGAGAAATTGCCGGACAGACGTCAGTCCATCGTCATGTGAACAACCGAGCCCGTTTTGTCAACATTTACGTGCCCAGGCACAACACCGCTGATCCCGACCTCATCGTCAGGCCAACGCGTACTGAATTGAACATTGATCACATGGCAAAAACTTTGGCTTCCAAGGGAAGAATCCAGCGTCGGTTCGACGTGGACGAAGAAGCTGATCTTCCAGTATCTCGCCTCAACACCTACTCCAGGGACCTCTACCGCCACGGTGGCAGGAAGCCCATCGAACCTCTTCCATCAACCTCCAGGAGGGTCATGGGCGCCGTGTGCCGCGCCAGGGCACGTAACGCACTGCAAGGCCAATAATTTGATTTCAAACTTCCCGCGACGATCAACATGAAATTAACTTATTAGTTGTTTATAATTGGAACTAAGAATGTAGTCTGGATTATTAAAAATTTGAATTTGTAACAAAAATTAAAGTATTTCCATGAATACCAGCTCCGTTTTTTAATGATCGATAGAACATTGCGGATGAAATTACTGAGATAGAAAATTTTTTACTTCGAAAATATTTCGATATCAAGTCGAACAATCGCATCTCGAACACGAGAAATTCTGTATCGGAAGCCTATTTTTCGAAGGATTTTTCTCACCGTTTAAAAATGTCAGATAACTTTTCATAAAGTTGATAGTTTGCCTATCTATTTTGGGCGCTTCAGTTAACAGTTGATCTTCCGGTTGAATGTTCTTGTTGAATGTTCCTGAATGTTTCGCTGAGTTTTATGTTATAGACAATGTTCAGTAATTTTCAACCGTCTTCCTTTGCTTACTGCTAAGTTTTGTCTACTGTTGGTTTGTTAGCTTATTTGAAAGCTCCAATAAATGTTGAACATGAGAAAGCGTAGCTTCGTATCCGTCACATCTATTAAAAACCTTGGACTTGGCACCACCTCTGGCAGCTTCTTCTACATGCATACAACGAAAACCTCTCGCTTAAATATTTACTTAGAACGGACAAAGAGCAGGACTCACATTGTCAGGATACGTTTTCTTGCGTTGACGGCAACTTAAATTGCTTTAATCGTTTTGATCAAAGCAAAATAACATAATAAATCATTTAATTCTAAGAAGTATCAAACAAACAGAGCGAAGCCGAAGAAACAGTTCCATTAGAGAGTCCTTCTATTTAACGATTAGGTCATACATAAATGTTACATAAAACAGAGAAATAAGAATTGTTCAATAGGCATACTCAGCTTAATATTACAACGCAAATAAAACAGGTTGGACAAGAAAAAAGTTCGAGGTCTCCTGTTACAGTGGATCAGTGAAATGCCAAGCTTTTGGCAGCGCGCCACATAGCTTGGCTGTTCCGGTGTTGAATCGCACTGCTGCAACTCAGTAGATCTCTCATAGCGAGGAACCGCTTTGACGGATCTCTCCGAACCTCTTTTCTACTCTGCTGTGGGCTCGATCCCACTTGGATTGCGTTGAAATTTATACAATTTTTATATAGTTTTCGCTCGGTTTCAAACTAATTATAACAGCATTTGGTTTAGAGTTCGGTTAGTGGATCAAAATGTACACGAGTATCATTGCCAGCGTCCAAGGTTCGAGGTCTCCACCGGTATCGTCGCTCTTTTTGAGTGGCATTCCCAGTGATGGGTTGGATCAATGATGTTAGTGATGTGAACTTCAATCTCATCACGACGGGGGAAGTATACATTTTCAATACCTCGGTCGCACCACCACGAGCTGTTTCACCAACGTTACCTACTTCACACAACTCTAGTGCATAATACCATTTCGTTGACACTGCATTTCGTTCCTGCCACTCCGGGTTCGAGTTTCTCTGCAATCATGTCGCAAATTCAAATCGATATTCGACAATTCTAACATCAACGACTTTCATGGAATATTCATTCTACGCACGTTGCGCATGTTTCAACGTGATATTCCGCACTTGGTATTATGAGCAACTAAGATAAAGATATTAAAGGAAGCCTACAAGGAAAATGTCGACCCGTACAAGGAAAATGTCGACCCGTATAATTCTTTACAACATGAAGGTACGTTTTGAGTGTTGATTCATTTTTCAGTTACTTCTTTTTCCTTCTCTCTACATTGACCAGGATATTGTATACATCAAACATGTATTCTCGTGAGCTAGAAGGAAGTATAGTTTTCAACTTGTTCAACAATTTTATAATTTTTAGTCCGTTAAACTTTCATTTACAATTATTGATGGCATAATATACGTTTAGTAGTTCATGAAAACCGCGACTTCACCAGGAAATGATTCATAATGTGCATTATATTCGTTACGAAAATGATACGAGTATCGAATTTAACCCGTTATTGTCACAATGAAAACTTTATACAAGGAAACCGATTTTTTTATTATATCAGATGATTAAAAATGAAAATTAATCTTTCAGCTATGTAACTATAACTATATGGATTCACAATTTTATTCCAGTGAATCATTATATGAGTTAATGATTCTTTTGCAAAAAATCACTATATAAGTAAAAATGGATATATTGCGTTTATATAGGCGATAAGTCAGTAAAAGAGAAGTCATTTACATATGTGATTATATCCTAGATTTCTGACGATGGATAATCATAATGACGATGATTAATAACGATGACGATTAATTAATGGATTAGATTAATGGCGATGGATTCTGATCAAATATTGTATTTATATTTTCGATTGTTATCATTTCAATGAGTTCAATAAATTCATTATAACGCAAATTAATACCCATTGATAGTTTGAGAATAATGGTTGAAGCATTTTATTTGGTTTGAAACCAATTTATTATCAGGCAAGATAATTACCATTGTAAGTTGAAGACAACTGGTTGAAAAGATGAGTCAAACAACGTACATAGACGACAGATTCATTATGGAAAATAATAACTAATTTATGGAATTATATCGTTGCAAAATGGACAATTTGAATGAAAGTCGAAAAACATATTGAGTCTAGAAGAAATGAATATTTAAAGAAAAACTTTTTTATAAACTTTTCGAGTCTAAATGTTAATTTATTACTTATGAACTTCTATTTAGTTTAACTATACGTGATGACTCTGCCAAATAAGTCGTACTTCGTCAAGAACGTTGTACGCAAACGGTCATTTCATGTGATCTTCTATTAATAAATGAGCTTTGCGCAAAATATAGAATAAATATTTGTTGAAATTGGAAAATAATTTATTTATTTTATTCAGTGATTATTAGCGTGGTCTATATATACATATTCTCATACGAGCTTCGCGGAAAAGCATAATGAAAATATAAAATAAAATTACTATGAATGAAATTATTGCAGAACAAATAAATTGAAAGCAAAGCAGAATCAAATAAATTGAAAAATAATGTATTTATTTCATTGAAATAAAATTTCTATGAATAATATTTTTGCAGCAAGACGATGGCGCAGGAGGTGGACGCTCTGAACGCCCGCGTGGTCGAGGCTGAGACTCGTCTCAAGTCCGAGGTGACCAAGATAAAGAAGAAGATGCAGATCACCATCACTGAGCTGGAGATGCACATCGATACTGTCAACAAGTCCAACATCGACCTGCAGAGAATCAACAAGAAGGTCACCATTCAGCTCCAGGTTAGTCAACAAGAAGGTCACCATTCAGCTCCAGGTTAGTCAATAAAAAAGTCACCATTCAGCTCCAGGTTAGTCAACAAGAAGGTAAAGAATTCAGCTCCAGGTTAGTCAATAAAAAAGTCACCATTCAGCTCCAGGTTAGTCAACAAGAAGGTAAAGAATTAAGCTCCAGGTTAGTCAACAAGAAGGTAAAGAATTAAGCTCCAGGTTAGTCAACAAGAAGGTAAAGAATTAAGCTCCAGGTTAGTCAACAAGAAAGTCACCATTCAGCTACAGGTTAGTCAACAAGGTCACCATTCAACTGCAGGTTAAATACTGACGAGAACGATCAACCAAGTCCATTTAATGGTGAAAGAAAACAAAAATTTTTGAAAATTTCAGAGCAAAATAAAGGTTTCTTATTTTTACAAATACGAGGTTAGAAATTCAAGTATCTAATATAACAGAAATTTTTAGGATACAAAAATAGTTTTAAAATTGCTCATTTTAAAATGTCGAAGTTATAATAAAATGTTTATCCTTATTGGATCAACTCTAAAATGGTGGTGGGATCATTCAAGGTTTCCGAAAGCGTCAATAATTCATGCATAATTGAAACTAAACTATGTTTTGCACGTATCCAGACACTAACAAAAAATGAGTTGGGATTTAAAGGAATTAATTTTGATTTGCATCCCTAATACTAAGTATTTTTCTCGATGGGACCTGCCGTTCTGTGCTACGTCAACTGCAGTAGCTGCATACCTATACTGATATACTGCATCCTGCAGTAGCTGCAAACTTGTATTTATGTGTATTTTTATACTGTAGTAGCTGCAGGCCTTTTTGATGTGTGTTTAAGTTTTATCCTGCAGGAGCTGCAGACTTATGTTGATATATTTTTTATTACTTCATCAGCTGCAGACGTGTGTTGAAACTTTTAAATTGTATTGCAGGAGCTGCAGACTTCTGTTGAGATATGTTTAAATACTGCATCAACTACAAACCTGTGTTGAAACTTTTAAATTGTGCTGCAGGAGCTGCAGACTCACTACGACGAGCTGCAGAGGCAGCTGCAGCAGACCCTGGATCAGTACGGCGTGGCTCAGCGCAGGCTGCAGCAGCTCATTGCTGAGAACGAAGAGTTCAGGGCCAACCTTGAGGCCGTGAGTGCCTTGCTTTATTGCCCTAACAAAATTTAGAGTTGCCCCAGCTTCTGGTAATCCAATTCAGAAGCTGCCACGTCTGTAAATTTTCACTGGGTAACAAAATTTAGAGTGGCCCCAACTTCTGGTAATCCAAATCAGAAGCTGCCGCGTCTGTAAATTTTCACTGGGTAACGAAATTTAGAGTCGCCCCACCTTCTGGTAGAGTCGCCCCAGCTTCTGGTCATCCAAATCAGAAGCTGCCGCGACTGGAAATTTTCACTGGGTAACAAAATTTAGAGTCGCCCCAGCTTCTGGTAATCCAAATCAGAAGCTGCCGCGTCTGTAAATTTTCACTGGGTAACAAAATTTAGAGTCGCCCCCAGCTTCTGGTATTCCAAATCAGAAGCTGCCACGTCTGTAAATTTTCACTGGGTAACAAAATTTCGAGTCGTCCCAGCTTCTGGTAATCCTAATCAGAAGCTGCCTAATCAGAAGCTGCATTAATTGCTAAAAAGTTCACAGTTATCTTAAGGGGCTTAGATTACCGTAGTAACCCTTGAAATGTTGATCTTAAAGGGCGTAGATTACCGTAGTAACCTTTATACTCTCTATCTTAGGAGGCTTAGATTACTGTAGTAAACCTAACCCTCGAACTGTCTATCTTAGAGGGTTAGATTTCCGTAGTAATTTTTAAACTGTCTATCTTAAGGGGCCTAGACCACCGTATAGTAACCTTTAAACTGTCTATCTTAAGGGGCCTAGACCACCGTATAACTGTCTATCTTAAGTACCTTCTGGTAGAGTCGCCCCAGCTTCTGGTCATCCAAATCAGAAGCTGCCGCGACTGGAAATTTTCACTGGGTAACAAAATTTAGAGTCGCCCCCAGCTTCTGGTATTCCAAATCAGAAGCTGCCACGTCTGTAAATTTTCACTGGGTAACAAAATTTCGAGTCGTCCCAGCTTCTGGTAATCCTAATCAGAAGCTGCCTAATCAGAAGCTGCATTAATTGCTAAAAAGTTCACAGTTATCTTAAGGGGCTTAGATTACCGTAGTAACCCTTGAAATGTTGATCTTAAAGGGCGTAGATTACCGTAGTAACCTTTATACTCTCTATCTTAGGAGGCTTAGATTACTGTAGTAAACCTAACCCTCGAACTGTCTATCTTAGAGGGTTAGATTTCCGTAGTAATTTTTAAACTGTCTATCTTAAGGGGCCTAGACCACCGTATAGTAACCTTTAAACTGTCTATCTTAAGGGGCCTAGACCACCGTATAACTGTCTATCTTAAGGGGCCTAGACCACCGTATAACTGTCTATCTTAAGGGGCCTAGACCACCGTATAGTAACCCTTATATACTGTCTATCTTAAGGGGCCTATATTTCCATAGTAACCCTGAATTGCTCACGATGCAGGCTTCTCGTGCTCGCCGCAACGCCGAGCTGCAACTCGAGGAGTGTCTGGTGCGCATCAAGGACCTGACTACCATCAACGCTAACATCTCTGCCACCAAGAGCAAACTCGAGCAAGAGATCTCCGTCATCGCCTCCGACTATGATGAGGTCACCAAGGAACTTCGGGTGAGTCTACACAAATCAGTTTCTGATAAGAGTTTTTTATACTTATAATTCAGAGTAAAAATGTATTTGAAACAAAAAGCACTCGAGTAATTGTTAATACAGAAGATGATTTAGCCAAAAACTTTCTGTGAGGCTTTACGAATTTGTTTGAGACTTTTTAATGGAATACAGATTATGACACAGGAAACGAAAACAATTAATTGATACAAAAGATGAGGCAGCCAGGAAAGTTTGTATGACTTCAACGGTAACTACGGTGAAAAGTTTATCGATAAAAGCAACACTTGAAATATGTAAAAAAACTAATTTTAAATCAAATAAACAATTAGTCAACTTTAATTATAAACAGTACGTATACAGCAAATGAAACTAAGAAGATAACTGGATTTAAAACGGGTAATAAAATCGCCTAAAAGGTATTTTTCATGGTATATTGTGCTAACAGTCAAATTTTCATTAGTATCTTTTGTTCATATTCATTCACTTATATAAAATTCATTTTTCATTTTAAATTATCCTTTTTTACATTCAGCGAACGTTGTTGTCATTTCCTTATTCAAAAAATATACTTAGAGGCCCTCAGCTCTATAACTGCTAGCCAAGCTTGCCACAAGGCCTCTGATGATTGCAAACGCTGAACACGAACGCAAAAATAACATTGGAGGTTATCATTAACATTAAAATGTCAGCCCATTTTCCGCCAAAATTCTATGCAAAAAAGTGTGTATTATTAAATTAAATTGCGCATTGCACGCAAAAATAACTTCTGACTTTATCTATACATTAAAATGTCAGCCCATTTTGTGTGAAAATTTAATGCAAAAAAGAGTATATTATTTAATTCAATCACCCGTTGCAGCTGGCCGACGAACGTCTGCTGAAGGCGAACACGGAAGTGAAGCGTGTTACTGAGTCGCTGCACGAGGAGTCGGAGCGTTGCATCAAGATCGAGAGCATCCGCAAGAGCCTCGAGGTAGAAGTGCGCAACCTGACCGTCCGCATCGAGAACATCGAAGTCAACTCTCTTGCCAACACCAAGCGCATGGTTGCCAAGCTCGAGTCCAGGGTGAGTTCTGACTCAGCAATATTGTTAGGAGCTAGCTATTGTGAGTGAGTCTAGGGTGAGTACTGGCATAGCAAGATACGGTGATTTTTATTTGTTAGATTCATTAGTCTAGGATGAGTACAAGATTAACACGAGAGTGATTATTAGGATTACGAGTCTAGGGTGAGTACAAAATTAGCAAGAGAGTGATTGTTAGGATTACGAGTCTAGGATGAGTATACAAGATTAGCAAGAGAGTGATTGTTAGGGTTGCGAGTCTAGGGTGAGTACAAAATTAGCAAGAGAGTGATTGTTAGGATTACGAGTCTAGGATGAGTACAAGATTAGAAAGACAGAGTGATTGTTAAGATCATGAGTCTCTTACGAGTTGATACTGGGTTAACTGGGTTACACAGGGCTACCAATAACAGTATAAGCATGGGGATCTACTTAGCGCGAGTGTACAGTGAGCGAGTTCTTTGATCTAGATGAGGAAGACACTTCAATAATATGGATCTACATCTACTAAGGTAGATTGCAGGGTGAAAGAAATATGATTATGATTGTTTGTGATTGTATTTAATTTTATAATATTTATTTATGGTATTACGATATATTACAATTACAATATGGGTGAGAAGAAGTTAAACGTAAACTTCAATGAAATTCAAATGTGAAATAAATTTTTGCCCCAGAGTTGAATTGTAATATCAGTAAATTCGTTTGACTGACATTTTAGTTTGCAGTTTCTACGTACATCACCAAATTTGTTTTTTTAATTCGTGATATTTTAGTTTGCAGCTTCTACTTATATCACCAGTAGTATTAGTCATAATCAAGGAACTTTCGCGTAAAAGTTTTCAATTCTAAAAATTTTCCAAAGTAGTTCCACCTCTAAATTAACCTTCCAATCATCAGAGCCAAAGAAGTATTTCTCCCCTTCAGGTATAATTGACCAACATGTTTTATATTATTTACACTTAATTTAATTCGAAAGGTTGCTGATCTTGAGAACGAGCTTGACGAGGAACGTCGTCGTCACCAAGAGACCATCAAGATCCTGAAGAAGAAGGAGCGCAACGTCAAGGAGCTTGTCCTCCAGTGCGAGGAGGACCACAAGAACATCCAGATCCTGCAGGAAACTCTCGACAAGACCTACGAGAAGGTCAACCTCTACAAGAGGCAGATCGGCGAACAGGTTCGTTAGGTTCACTCGCCTGAATGTGGCTTTAGTTAAGTTAGTTTCCCATAACGTCACTTTTTTTCTAATTTACCTGTAATTGGTTGCTCTGACTGTCGCTATTTTGTTTATTTAATCATCTGTATTTGATGATTGCTCATAAGGGTAATTTTTTATCCAATAACATTAGATATTCATTTCCTAACGAATATTTCCAACTCTGCCTTCAGTCATAGATGTTCACCGACTCTAATTTAATTTATATGTAATTTCCAATTACTGCTATCATTATTTATTTGCTTTAATTATGTTTCGCAGGAGTCGATATCTCAGACGAACCTGTCGCGCGTGCGTCGCTTCCAGCGCGAGCTGGAGACCGCCGAAGAGCGCGCTGAGACCGCCGAGTCAAACCTCTCCATGATCCGCTCCAAGCACCGCACCTTCGTCACCAGCCAGACGACCACGCTGCCTACCGGGGAACACGTCATCATCAAGGAGACGGTCACCACCGAGTAGACGAGGTTTTGGATTAGGGAGACGAGGTCTTGGACCGAGTAGACGAGGTCTTGGACGGAGTAGACGAGGTCTTGGACCTAATAGACGAGGTCTTGGACCTAGTAGACGAGGTCTTGGACCGAGTAGACGAGGTCTTGGACGGAGTAGACGAGGTCTTGGACCTAAGACGAGGTCTTGGACCTGTCTCTTATACACATCTAGATGTGTATAAGAGACTGTACTACTGTACTACTGTACTACTGTACTGCTGTACTACTGTTACTGTACTTCTGTAATACTGTACTACTGTACGCAATTTTTATAATGGTGTAGTTCGGCAGAAGTTGTTCTTCAATGCAGGTCTCATGGAAGATCAGAGAGTATTTCTTTTTGACGATTTTCTAATTGTTTTTCTCTGTTCGGCGAATTAGGTTTTTGATATTACTTATAAATTCAAATATAATGTGTCCAAGGGACATTTTATTATAATTAACAACATTTCGAATGCAACTGACGTTAGTACAAACATAGACGTTAGTACAAACATAGACGTTAGTACAAACATAGGGCATTACGGATACAGATTGGAAATCAAAGCTTGCATTACGAGGACAGTTCCAACTTCCTGACAAATCCGATAGTTTGTAAATTAAAAACTGGAGACTCCTGCTTGACGATGAGAAGCTAAGCTTTTCGGGGCGCCGCATGATGATGCTGGTGCATGTGTATGTAGCTCACTGCATGAGGGCAAAATATGTATGTAGTTCAGTGCATGGCGCGAGTGAGTGTCTCACTATGAGCCTCTCTCATGTGGTTCTTCGGTCCTCCGGTGTGGAGGTGGCATGTTAAGCGGCGGCTCAAAGTCGTGCTGGTCAAACCGATGTAATTTACATTATTTATAAGTTTACAACCTTCTTTGTGGCATCAAGTATTAGAATCACTAGGTTGCTTAAATCGCACGTTTATCTAAAACTGCTTAAATCGCAAGCTTATCTTAAATCGCAAGTTTAAGAATTTAAAGGCAAAGAAAACGGCAAAAATCAATCATCAATATTTAGAAGGCAGTGAGGAAGATGATGAATTAACAAGAAATGAATCAATAAGAAATACTTTCTGGTCTACATAAGACCTGTATTAAATATTTTTATGGATTGACAAAATGTACTTTATTGTAGCCAAGTGTATGTAGCATGAGGGCAAAATATGCATGTAGCTCACTGCATGAGGACAAAATATGTATGAAGCTCAGTGCATGAGGGCAAACTATGTATGTAGCTCAGTGCACGAGGGAAAAATATGTATGTAGCTCACNTCCCTCTTCTCCTTCCCTCTTCTCCTTCCCTCTTCTCCTTCCCTCTTCTCCTTCCCTCTTCTCCTTCCCTCTTCTCCTTCCCTCTTCTCCTTCCCTCTTCTCCTTCCCTCTTCTCCTTCCCTCTTCTCCTTCCCTCTTCTCCTTCCCTCTTCTCCTTCCCTCTTCTCCTTCCCTCTTCTCCTTCCCTCTTCTCCTTCCCTCTTCTCCTTCCCTCTTCTCCTTCCCTCTTCTCCTTCCCTCTTCTCCTTCCCTCTTCTCCTTCCCTCTTCTCCTTCCCTCTTCTCCTTCCCTCTTCTCCTTCCCTCTTCTCCTTCCCTCTTCTCCTTCCCTCTTCTCCTTCCCTCTTCTCCTTCCCTCTTCTCCTTCCCTCTTCTCCTTCCCTCTTCTCCTTCCCTCTTCTCCTTCCCTCTTCTCCTTCCCTCTTCTCCTTCCCTCTTCTCCTTCCCTCTTCTCCTTCCCTCTTCTCCTTCCCTCTTCTCCTTCCCTCTTCTCCTTCCCTCTTCTCCTTCCCTCTTCTCCTTCCCTCTTCTCCTTCCCTCTTCTCCTTCCCTCTTCTCCTTCCCTCTTCTCCTTCCCTCTTCTCCTTCCCTCTTCTCCTTCCCTCTTCTCCTTCCCTCTTCTCCTTCCCTCTTCTCCTTCCCTCTTCTCCTTCCCTCTTCTCCTTCCCTCTTCTCCTTCCCTCTTCTCCTTCCCTCTTCTCCTTCCCTCTTCTCCTTCCCTCTTCTCCTTCCCTCTTCTCCTTCCCTCTTCTCCTTCCCTCTTCTCCTTACCCTTATCATCTTATTGCCTTCTCACATTTTACAGAAGAAAATAGATACCTATGCATAATAGTAAAGAAGAAAACATTTCCTGAGAGAAATAAAAAAATTCTTTGATGCGCAACATTTGCAAGGATTCCAACCTCGACTCCGAACCAAAAATTATTTTCATTAAATATTCAATAATGAATTCATTTTCTCACTCGATATTTTTTAAAGAAATATACAATTAATAATAACAAGCCAGAGTGAGAAATTATTCAGTCAGGCCTGTAAGGCTGTGGAGTTCATCGCACTGTCAATGAGGCGTACGTATCAGTGATACCATCAGTCTGTTCTCAGATCACATTCATTATTTTGACAGGCATTACCAACCTACTTTAAATATTATTTTATTGGGGATAGTTTAAATAAAAGTATAGGAATTAGAAATGTTTAAATACATTTATAGAAAATGATGTGCCTAAAGATACCGATTTTCATTCACTAATTGGTATCAGCGTACAATTTATTCATACATATACAGAATATAATTGGAACATTTTTATGCACAATTATATAGATTACAGAATTCCGTAATAAAAAATGTGATAAAAATGCATAGAAGAAAGAACCATTAGAGAATTTTGTCAAGGACGTTTAAAATCGTCCAAAATGCTGCCTTTTCTTGAGCTACAAGTTTTATACATGCATATGAGCTGCATGACGTCCATATGTGTGTGCTTGTAAAAAAATACTCATCCATATGTAGCTGCCTGCACTCTGAGCAACATACTCATCCATATGTAGCTACCTGCACTCTGAGCAACATACTCGTCCATATGTAGCTACCTGCACCCTGAGCACCATACTCGTCCATATGTAGCTGTCTGCACTCTGAGCAACATACTCGTCCATATGTAGCTGCCTGCACTCTGAGAAACATTCTCATCCATATGTAGCTGCCTGCACTCTGAGCAACATACTCATCCATATGTAGCTGCCTGCACTCTGAGCAACATACTCATCCATATGTAGCTGCCTGCACTCTGAGCAACATACTCATCCATATGTAGCTGCCTGCACTCTGAGCAACATACTCATCCATATGTAGCTACCTGCACTCTGAGCAACATACTCGTCCATATGTAGCTACCTGCACCCTGAGCACCATACTCGTCCATATGTAGC